CACTCCGTTGACCCCCCAGCAGCCTTCGAGAGTTGCGACATTTTCGCAGATCTCAGCTCCCAGGGGTGGCGAAGTCTTATCTGAATCTGGGTGGTACCTCATATCGCTGAACCCCTCAGCAGCCTTCGAAAATGTTGGCAGTTCCGCAGATTGCAGCCCCCCAGGGCTGGCGAGGTCTAATCTGAGTCCAGGTGGTAACTCACCCCGCTGAACCCCCAGCGGCCATCGAAAATGACGATTGTTTCGCAGATCGCAGCCCCACAGGGATGGCGAGGTCTAATTTGAATATAGGTGGTGCCTCACTCCGGTGAACCCCCCAGCAGCCCTCGAAAGTGGCGACGGCTTCGCGGATCGCACCCCCCCCCCAGGGATTGCGAGGTCTTCTACGAATTTGCGTGCAACCTCATTACGGTAGGTTTGCGTCGTGTCGACCAGCGGCGACCCCAGCGCGGGCGTTCAAGGTTGAACGCCGCCGGCGACCCAGAATCGATCGACGTTGAACGATTGGACGTTGCGGAGACGGCCGATCGTTCAAGGTTGAACGATCCCTGCGGTGTCAAAAACCAACGCTGGGGTCGGCACGACACGAACCCGCCGTACGCTGCATGCTGCCCCCCCCCAGCAAGCTTCGAAAACTGCAACGTTATCGCAGATCGCAGCCCCCACCGATCACCCGGGCAGGACGACGAGATAGCAGACATGGTAAGAGGCAAGTAGGAGGAACGAGAGGAAGAGGGAAACGGGAGAAGAAGGTGTGCGACCGCAGTGCTCCGTTCAAAACGAGTACCCAACGCAAGAGGGTTGGGGACTATCTACTATCGTGGGCCTGCTGTCGATCGATCGGCGATGTATCGCCGATTCCAGGTCGATGTCTGTCCCCCTGGAGCCGGTGTTTCCCGTTCCTCGTCTCCTCCTCTCTCGGGAGCGTCGCGCACGCCAGCGGCTTACCAGCACGGGCGCTCTCCAGTAGCCCGCGAAAGGTCTCGAGCACGGCTGTTCGAACGTCCTGGGGCGTCTCGGTGTTTCAGAAGAGCCAGGAGTCGGGGGAGGAGGAGGAGGCGGAGGAGGAGGAGGAGTAGGAGGAGGAGGAGGAGGAGGAGGAGGAGGAGAATGATGATGATGATGATGATGATGATGATGATGATGATGATGATGATGGATGATGATGATGATGATGATGATGATGATGATGATGATGATGAGGAGGAGGAGGAGGAGGAGGAGGAGGAGGAGGAGGAGGAGGAGGAATAGGAGGAGGAGGGGGAGGAATAGGAGGAGGAGGAATAGGAGGAGGAGGAATAGGAGGAGGAGGAGGAGGAGGAGGAGGAGGAGGAGGAGGAGGAGGAGGCCGAGGCAGAGCCCCCCCCCCCCCTGGATCGCAAGCCGCGGGCTGGGGTAGCCCAGGCAGGTGCGGCGAAGCAAGCAGAGGCTGCCGGGGGGCGGGGCGGGGCGACGCGCCCGCAGGGACTCCCAGCACGGGGCGGCGGCGGCTCGCGGAGCGCGCGGGAGGCCCGCAGCGTGCGGCGCCGGGCGGCCCGAGAGGCTCGGGGGGCCGCGCAAGATGCTTGGCATCGCTCGGACGTGTGCATTTTTTTCTCTCGGCGACGGCCATCGAGGGCTCCAGATTTCGTAGTAAAGGGGAGGGGGTCTGGACCCTCCAAGACAAGCCATTTCAGACCCCCCCCCCGTGGGAGAACCCTCCAAAACATCGTCCCCAGACCCCCCAGGCCCTCCAAGATAGCCTGGAAGAGACCCCCCCCCCGAAATGAGACCCCCCTCCCTTTATTACGAAATCTGGAGGACCATCCTTGATCATTTGGCGAAAAACAAACCCACACGAAATCGAAACAACGCAGGGGATGGACGTCCGAGCGACGGCGAGGATGCGACGCGCTGTTCCCCTGTCGTGTCGGATCGCCCGCCGCGGGCTGGGGTAGCCCAGGCGGGACGTGGCGGGGGGACGTGGCCGATGCACCCCTGACGTTTCCCCCGCGTGCTGTCGGTCGCCGACTGCGGGACGGACGCGAGGGGGCGATCACCTCGAGCAGTGGCGAAGCGTCCAGGCTTGCCCGTAGGCCTGCCCAAGAATGCGCGAAGAACCTGTTGTGGCTTGCACGATGCAGTTCTCAGGGCATTTGTTGGTCGGTTTCATGTTGTAAGAAGTTGTTGTGCTGTTGGTTCGTTATTTGGTCTGAAGAACATGCCGCAATTGTCATATAGGAATGCCAGGATAGTCGATCCCTGCTCAAGGATCGGGAAGGGAGGGGCAAGACGCAATCTGCTGGGTGCAGCTGGTTTCGTTTTGTGTCGACCGGCGGCGTCCGCCGACGGCGTTCGTTCAACGTTAACCGCCGCCAGCAAGCCAGAGTCGGTCAACGTTGAACGATCTGACGTTTCAGATTCGGCCAGAAACGGCCCCCACGGTTTCAGAAACCAACGCCGAAGTCGGCACGAAACGAACCTGCCTTCACCTGCTTCGTTTCTGTGGGGGCAGTGCTCACGCCTTGGCTCGGCAATCGAACTCTTGTCCGTTGCTCCCCCTCAGCTGGAAACAAACGACGCTGGCGGCTGCGCACGGGCAGCTTCCAGGGGTCAAGTCCAGTGCGGCGCAAGCCCAGACCCCCGACGTCGTGATTGTTTCACGACGTCGACCCCCAGAGGTCCGGACCCCCTACCCTGGATCGGTTGTTCATCCCGAGTCGTTGCTTGACGGCCCCGAGGCCCGGGAAGGGCCCCTGGAGGCCGCCAATATGGAAAAACCTCGAGTCATGACTTTGCTTTGCACAGCGCGAGGGAGCCTGGGAGCTCGGCAGGCCCCCTGGGCGGCGTGGGCGTGGAGAGCCCCAGGGGGCGCCGCCGGAGGCGGCGGGGGGGGGGGGCGCGGAGGCTGCCCCCCGACGGCCCCACAAAGGGGGCCCGTCGAGGCCGGCCTGCGCTGCCTCTCTGTGGGCGCCGTCTGCGCGCGGAGCCGCGCCCTGCCGCGCAGGACCTCGAGGACATCTGGAGGGAGGTCGGCTACAACCCCTACGACTACGACAAGGAGGCCTCTGGGACAGGGAGGCCCAGGGAGGCCCAGGGACGCCCGAGGACAACCCTACAGGGAGGCCTCTGGGACAGGGAGGCCTCTGGGACAGGGAGGCCTCTGGCACAGGGCCTCCCGACAGGGAGGCCTCTGGGACAGGGAGGCCCAGGGAGGCCTCTGGGACAGGGAGGCCCAGGGAGGCCCAGGGAGGCCCAGGGAGGCCCTAGGACAACCCCTACGACTACGACAGGGAGGCCTCTGGGGCGCCCGAATGCTCCATCGGCGGCGAGCGAGGGGGGGAGGTGAGAAGCCTGGCATCGCTCGGACGTGGGCATTTTTTTCTCGGCGGGGACCATCGAGGAGCATCCTTGATCATTCGGGGGAGAAGACACGCACGAAACCGAAAACAACACAGGAAATGGACGTCCGAGCGATGCCCAGGAAGGAGAAGGCCATCTCAGGAGGCGGCGGGACTTCTCAGCAGCCCTCGCGCCTTCAGGGAAGTGTTTTTTTTTCTGTCTTCGGGGAAGGCCTGGAAATCTTGTCAGAAGGCTGGGGGACCTCCGAACCTTCTGAGAAGGCCTTCTCCTTCTCACTTCCCCCATCGCTCGCCGCCGACTCCAGGGCAACTCGGGTCCAGGGCACGACCGTTTTGGGCCCCTGGAGGCACGAACCAGGAGTTCCCCGGACCCCCCCCAGCCCCCATGACTCCAGAGTGAGTGGACGCCCGATTTATCCAGGACAGCTCCAGTCTGGGAAAATTCTGGTTTGGGCGGGCCCCCGGCGCACGTACTATGAGCTACAGTCGAAATCGATAGACAGTGAGGATGGGTAACCTTCCCAAGGGCACCCTTCCAGCTTTGCCTGCTCGATCCATCCTTGACACCTTTCGATGGCCAGCCCCGCTCGAAGAGCTTCGAGACGGGCGTCCAAGGGGCTTGCATCCTTGTCGCGCATCTTCCCTATCAGCTTCACCCCCAGCCCCAATGACTCGGGGCTCTGACGGCGCCACCCCCCGCGGGGGCCAAAATGTATCCATCTCCATCGCCCGCTGGGCTCCCACCTGGATAAAGGATTTCGAGCACGGCGATGACGACCCGCTTCTTCATGCAATTCCACCCCGTCGTCCTCCTCTTCCTTCTTCTTTTCCTCATCGGCCTTCGAGGATCTAGTTTTCCTGCCCTCCTGCGTTGGGTTCTCGTCATGAATGGAGCACTGCTGTCTCCAACCCTCTTCTTCTCCCAGGCGGTGGATCTGGATAAACCCGCGCCTCGCACCTGACCGCCCCCAACCCCGATGACTCGGGGCTCTGAAGGCGCCGTCCCCTGCCAGCGCCTCCGCCGCTGGCGCGGCGCGCCGCCGGGCCAGCGCCCCCGCCGCCGGCGCGGCGCGGCGCAGGGCCAGCGCCTCCGCTGCCGGGGCGCCCGCCGCGCCAGCGGCCCAGCCGCGTGTAACCAGCCCCGAGCTTATCCCCACCCCTAAGATCGGGAGCGGAAAAGAGGGTGGTGATGACTAGGGGGGGTGGATATCATGGCGGGGGGCATGATATTTCCCCAGGTTTCATGGCGCCTCCTCTTGTTTCATTACGTCCCTGCCCCCCCCGCTAGGTCGCGCACATGCCGCCGGTCATGATTTGCACCCCCCCCTCTTGGACACCCCCCTCTTGGCCGCTCCCGATAAGATGTACAAGCCTAAATCACGAACGAACAACACACACCCATACCCATAGGGGGGTCGTTGGGAGGAGGACTGGCTATGGGTATGGGTGCGGGTTGTCGGACCCTGGGGAACGCTCCCGTTCGAGCGGGGACCCCCATTCGACAACACGCACCCATAGCCCTCTCCGACCCCCCTATGGGTATGGGTGTGTGTTGTTGGTTCGTCACTAGAGGCGACGACAATCTCAGGGATTTGCCCTCAGAAACTGAGGGAATCCGCAAAGTCGGCACCAAGATGAGGCGGTGTCAATCATAGGGGCATGGATATGTTCCAGGCTGGTAAGGGTGGCCAGAGCCCGTACTCGCTGCTCGCCGTCGCGCTCATCTCGGGGAGCAAACAGTGGCATAAACACAAACTCTCGGAGCTCCGCGCGGATTTCACTGATCGGCGCCGGAGCTCCCTGGCGGCGCCGCCCCTGGCTCGCTCCGCGCGTTAGGGAGTGGGGTCCAGCGCCGATCCAAGAAAGCCGCGCTGACCTCCAAAAGTTTATGTCTACAGTCAAGACGTGTATTTTAAGGACTGGTGGCAAGGACGCAAGACCCTTGGAGTCCGAAGTTGGGATTTTGTGGGTGGCGGGCGACCGGTGAAAAGATGGCAAAGAACGGCCGCAGAGGCGAGGACACGAGGGCGCCCTAGGTCCTAGACGAGGGCGCGCGCCCGTACTGGGCGCGTTGACTGTCTGTGCCATCCTTTTGTTCCTCGATCATCGCCCTCGTGATCTTCGTGGGCGGCGACTTCAGGCGCGCGGCTCCTCCTCCTCCTCCTCCTCCTCCTCCTCCTCCTCCTCCTCCTCCTCCTCCTCCTCCTCCTCCTCCTCCTCCTCCCTCCTCCTCCTCCTCCTCCTCCTCCTCCTCCTCTCCGGCGCCGGCCACCTCGGCGAGGCCGCCCGGCGACGGCGAGCCCGCGCAGCAGCCGCTCGCCGCCGTGCAGAGGAGCGGCGGCCCCGCGGCCCCCGGCGCGGCTGCCCCGGACGTGCCGCAGGCCGTGCTCGGGGAGGCCCTGCCCCGGGGCTCCCTCCCGAGCCACTCCGGCGGCTGGGCCTCCCGCTCGGTCGAGGGTGCGGGGGTCGAGGCCTCCTCAGAGGGGGTCGGAGTGGATATTGAATCCTTTTTTTTGGGGGGGGGGGATTTTTTTTTTTGCGTGTGTGTGTTCAGGTTTTTTTTGCGAGTATTTTTTTGAGGATTCAAAAAAAAAGAAATCAATTCGCAATTTTGACCCTATCTGCTCAGAACTCCATCTAGGAGGCCGCTCTGACCCCAGGGCTCCCTCCCGAACCACCACACTACAGCGTCTGAGCCTCCCGCTGGGCCGAGTGAGTGGGTACACGCTGGTCGTTGAAAGTAGGTATTTCTGGTCTCCCAGATTCCAGTCTATTTCGGGCGCCTTCCTACTTCACGAATCGACATGCCTTCGCTGTGCTTCGTTACAGCCTCTAAGAGGCCCTGAATCAAATCTTCTTGCTCCGCCTCAAATCTTCATGTTTTACCCACTTCCTCCGACCGACCGGTGGCCGAGTGTGCTCAATTTTGGCACCCTGCTCGGGAAGACGCCAGATGGGCTCAGGAGGGAACCCTACACATCAGAGCGTGAATTACCTGCCCCGCTTTCGCTTCCTGGCAAAACCAAGTCATACCACGCGCCTCCTCGGCAAGCGGCCTGACCAGTACAGGCCGCAGTTTGGCATCGTTTGGTGTCTCTTGGAAGCGAGGGTGGTCAAAAGCGAGGTAGGCTTTTCCCCCTTAGGAACACAGTCAAGACGCTGAGAAGGAAGGACCATTCTGGGCTCGACAGGGTGGGCCCTGCTGCTGGCCCCGCTCCCGCGAGCCAGGGTCGGGGGCCCGCCGCGTGGCCGAGGCCCGCCGTGGCCCGCGGAGGCAGCTCCTTCTGCAGCCCGCCTGGTGGTGGCGCGAGGTGGTTGCAGGGGCGCGGCGGCCAGCACAGGGTTCGTTTCGAATCCTCCGATCCGATTCGATTCGACTCCGATGGCTTCCGATTCCGGTTCGATTCGATTTCGGACTCCGATTTGGGCTCCGATTTCTCATCGGACGCATACTGGCCTGCCGATTTCCGCCGATTCGACTTCTCCCGACTCGGCTGCCGATTTCTGCCGATCCGACTTATTTCGATCGCCGATCCGACTTATCGATTCGATTCTGGGCTCCCCTGCAGTTCGGCGTCGCCCCCAGCATACTAACACTACGTGTGCGTTGCCTCCCCATGGGGCGACGCGCGCACCGAGAAGCATGATGGCATATGCGCCGTGGCCCGCGAAGGCAGCTCCTTCTGCAGCCCGCCTGGTGGTGGCGCGAGATGATCTGCAGGGGTGCGGCGGCCAGCACGGGTCGGCGTCGCCCCAGCTCTCTCGTCCTGCTCGTCCCTGCTCGTCCTCTCCTCTGGCCTCCTGTCTCGTTGTCCCCGTACTGCGCAGTATCCTGTCATGACTGCTTCGCTGTGATGCTGCATCGTGGTGTTGTCCCGGGGGGGGGGGGAAACAAACAAAAAACAGTTCGGCACAGTTCGGCGTCGCCCCAGCATACTAATCGGAGGTGGATCGACCTCCTACCCTGACACGTCGATTAAGGAACTGGCCGTTTTCGGTTCGCGAGAGGGCGTCGCGGCCGTCATTTTTGCGGGTCCAGGTCCGTCGGCGTCGGTCCCAGGCCGTTTTCACTAACCCCGAACCCACGATAATAAAGTACCCCCCCCCCCCTAAATAGTAGTTTGAGTTTTTTATCCTCGGCCTCGACGGTTTTCAAATAGAGGCGGAGGACGCGGAGGCCGAACTTCATTATCACGGGGAAAGTTCGCCATCGAGGTTACTTCCTTCTTATGTTGAGATAACAACATAAGAAGGAAGTTTTGAACTCTCTCTCTCTCTCTTAGTTTCTGTTTCTGTTCTCTCTCTCTCTCTTTCTCTCTCTCTCTCTCTCTGTCTCTCTCTCTCTCTTTCTCTCTCTCTCTCTCTCTATCTCTTCTCCTCCTCCCCCTGGCGCCCTGAACTTGTCTATCGCTGGGGTTGATTACCCCGGGAAAACTAAGCACATGAGCTCCCCTACACGAGCAGATGAATTTGTTAATGTTCATCAAGCGTTTACAAATTAAATCGAATACGTTTTGAACTTTGGATTTTCGCTTCCTCCTTCTCCTCTCCTCTCTCCTCCGCCTCCTCCTCCTCCTGCTCTTCTTTTCTTTCTCTCTATATATCTCTTTTTATGTCTCCTTCTTCTCGCCCCCTGGCGCCCTGAACTGAGACAAACCATTGTTGAGGATGTCTCAACCGAGACAAGTCATTGTTGAGGATGTATCATACAGGACCAAAGACCAAGGATCCTCAAGATATCTTTGGCTGTTTCCTCTTGCTATCTCTTTATGCTGGCTCTGGCGGGCAACTTTTACTATCTCCCCGAAAACCCCGAACTTTATTATCTCTGGGGGGTTATTCTCGTGGGTTCATGGTTAAGGGGAGGTTTACTAAAGGGAGGTTTGTCCACCGCCCAACTAACACTACGTGTGCGTTGCCTCCCCAGGGGCGACGCGCGCGCCGAGGAGTATGATGGCATGTGCGCCGTGGGGGGCGCTTCCTGGCTGCACCGCTC